ACTGTTTAGATCAGGGATTCTCCATCTCAGGCAACAGGTGCACTCTGGGGGCAGCCCAGGGGCAGGTGAAAAGTCAGGGACCACAGAGGTCCTAACATGGTCTCTACTCCGATACCTGAGAAAGAGCCCTGGACGCTGGGTCTGGGTTACTTGAGGGTTTCTCAGCTCCTCACTTAGAATGACTCTTAGGTCATCACAGAATTCAGCTCTACCTTTTATGAAATCTTCAGCAACTCTACATTCTGTAGTGAAAGACGTGGTTTTGTGAAGATGGAGTAGACAAAAATAGGGTAAAACACCCAAATTCAACCTGCTTGGATGCAAAAGGTCTTTGTCATAAACAAGGGATATTTCGGCAGCACCAAGACCAGAGACTAATAGCTGTCGTGTGTGTGTGTGTGTGTGTGTGTGTGTGTGTGTGTGTGTATTTAGTAGAAATACGTTCTCCGCACATCCAGACACGTAGTGGGATGGCAAGATGAAGGGTGGAGTTGACAAGTGACTTATGAAAAGTTAACTGATTAGATTTTTGTTCCAAGGATCTCCTGTTGGCTGAACCAAAACAAATCCCAGGTACTAGAGAACACACTATTTGTGACTCTAAAAAAAAAAAAATCTTTCTTTTATATGATTTCTCATTAAGTATTTTTTTACACCCTTATTTTTAAGTTTAATTTTTAACTTGTGGAAAAAATTGAAGAACTGATCACGGAGAAACTAATGCAGGGGGCAACTGGTGGCGTCAGGAAGAGGGTGGCCCCAACAGGATGGGGAGGGGCATGAACCCAGGATGACGTGGGTCAGAGGCTCTTTACTGTGGTTCACAGTGTGCCACGTTCTTGGGGATCCCAGAAGGGCATGGGGTGGACAGAAGTCAACAGAATGCTCCTGATGAATTATTCAGGCATTGAGATTCCTGAAAAGCTAGAAACACGTCCTCTGGTGTGACGCCTAGTCTAGCTGCTGCCCCCCACTACAGTTCTCACCTGCAACCTTCTGCGTGTGTCCCAAACCCCAGACCATCCGCCATGTCATTCTGTTTCCCATGAGCAGGGGGCTCATTTCAAGTGCTGAACACAAAGTCAGCACTGAAAAGATGTTTAATTGATGGATGTTTCTGTTACCTGACTGTGATTGCCCGCAATGTGTAAGAGGTCATGCTCAGAGTTTCAGACCAACCGGAGTTCTCAGAGTATGCCTACGAATCCCATAGACAAGGTCCTGCAAAGGAGGTTGACCCAGCAGCCTCTTGCATCCTTGAGATGGCACATGCGTAGACCATGGGAGACAAGCAGCCTTGAATGATGTGCAAAAGGCTAGGGATGTTTAGATTTTTGAAAAAAACAAAACATGTGAAACTAAGAATGGAAACCAATGGTAACGTTATACAATTAGGTTCTTCCCTCCTTGGTGCTTCACTGCTTCTGAGGAAGGCCAGTGCTTTTTATCTGATCACACTCCCCACACCTGCCCATCTGTTTTTAAGAAGCTTGGACATTCTGTGAGTAAAGGATGAGTCTTTGACCAAAGAAATAATTTCCTAAGGAAACTACACCCCAAACCCAAGTTTTGTTTAGTTTCCAAATCCCCGGTATCCACCCTTCTTTACTCTGTCATCTGCACACTCCTCAAACAGAATAGTAGGTAGAAAAGAAATGTTTTCAGCAAATTGCTCGGCTTGTTGGAGCCTCAGCACAATGCATGGCCAAAGGCTTTCATAGCTGAAGCAATGTTCAAGTATTACTTGACCAAGTCTGATTGTATTTTTAGTCCACTCTTTAAAATCGTAACAATGGAATGCAATAACGGATGTTAGAGGAAAAGAGAAAGAGACGGTATCATCCACAACAGGAAGCAAGAGCTGCCATCTGCTAGGTGCCTTCCCCAGTCCCTTCTATCTCAGGCCATATCCAGCGACTGACCAGTCGCTTCTTTGATGCTTTAGTGACTTACTCTTTTCCAGCTGTTTGGTGATTTAGAATGAATGGAGTTCTGGGGTTTCCATGCATTACTACACTTGAAAATCTTGGCTGCTCCTTCTCAAGTCCTTTAGACTTGCCCTTTGTGCTTGAAGGACAACTCATTCTTCTGAGTGAAAGGCCTTACTTCCCCCTCCTCCCTGTGGAAACTATCCCCCTAGAAGGGTTCAAAGTCAGCAGCATCATACCAGCACCATGAGGTTCAATAGGTTAGATTTCCAGCGTTTTCAAACTCCAGCCTGGAAATCAGAATCACCTGGAGAGCTTTTCCAAAATGCAGATACTGGGGCCCTGACTTTAGAGCTTCTAATTCAATGGCTCTGAGGGAGGTTTGGGTATTTTTATATTGACAAAGCTCTATGTTTGACGCTAAAATATTTTGAGATTTGAGAGTCTGTGCTTTGGAGATACTGGCCTAGAGGCTAAAGAGGAGGGACACTGGAGAGAAAGGAAGAGGGAGAGGGAGGAAGAAGGAAGAAACAGCCATAGAAAGGTCAAAGCAATTAGAGAAACTGAAAGCAGGAGCACTGGGCTAGGCAGGGCTTCTATCATGAATACCCAAGTTTCAGTTTTAGGTGTGTGTATGTGCACATGTGTGTATACACACATGCAGGTGCACACACACATACAAATGCACACACACACAACATGGCCATTTTGGGAAGGTGCTGGGAAAATCAGAGAGAGGCATGTCCCATGAGCCTGGGATTGTTTCTTCACCTCTGACACTTTTTCCATTCCCAGCCTGAGCTCTATCACACGCACCCCAGGGGAGAAGGCACAACACAGCTGCTGAAAATTGGTGGTTGCAGTTGTTGCTGCTTCTGCTTCCCCGCTCCGGCTGTCATTATGACAGTATTTCTTTGGGTCACATCTGGCTGGTGGGGCATCAATGACTTGTGGTGGGGGAGAAGAAGGGAGTGGTGAAGGAAGAACACAAAAATACATCAGCAAAGGCAATCATATCTATTCCTACCCTCCACCCACCCTCCACTGCCACCTGCCTTCAGTTTGATGCCATGGAAGGCATGGGTCTGAAGTTTATGGGATGAGGCCCCAAAGCACAGTCCCACATAATCATTTATTCTATGGGCTGTAGGCAGAAACTGCCTATTGGCAGAAGGATAAGGATGTTTCTGTCCTTGGCTGGTCAGAGGTACCCACCCCGGGAAGAAGGACCAGTTAGGACCACTTGGGAATTTGGTCTGCTTCGCTAAACAAAATAAATTTGCCTAAGTGTAATAAGTTCAACTCCTTCTCTCTGTCTTACAAATTATTCAAAACCAAGTTCTTACTGAGCATGAATCTCAAATATGTTTTCCAATGTTCCACTTTGGCTTGAGGCAGAGGGGATCTGACCTTTGTCTTCTTTTTGAAAGCATCACAACGCGGCAGCTTTGCCGCGGCATGGGTGCAGCCATATTGCCATTATTCGCTTTAGAATTTAGTTGGCTTCCTAGACTGAGCTAATTGAACTGGACTGGATCTTATTTACGACTGAATCCTCAGAGCCTAGGAGCACCCCTGGCATGCAAGGACACTCAGGAAATGTTTGCTGGGTACCAGGTCCTCGGGCAAGTTTCAAGCCATCACTTACAGAGAGAGGGACGCATGTCATAGCAACACTGGGTGTTGGCATGTTGACTATCACATAAAAACTGAGAAAGAGGGATTTCGAATCAATAGGACATGGTGTTTTTAACGAAGTCACATGACAGAATACTGTGCACCACATCTCTGTACAGTTACAAAACTCTTCCTTCCGATTCAGGAAGAAGTCGATGCCTCTCTTGGCATGATTTCCTTTTGATCTGGCAGCTCTGCTCAACGGGAAGCATTTGCTCCCCTCTCACTCTTCCCTGCTTTGGTTTGTAGACGTGTTCCCTGAGTAGGCTCTTAGATTGTTTTCATGATGGCCAAATACATTTGCCTATTTGCAAAACTCTGAAGGAGATGGTATTTGTAAGACTGGCAGTATGCTTTTTATTCACCCAAATTCTGGAGGACAGCGCTGGACTCTGGCAAGTCATTTCTCACGCTGAAGTTGGAGACACGATGAAGAATATATTTTCTGGAGTTTTTCCTAATAACGGACTTTGCCAGAATCGAGACAGCTCAAAGACGGAGTGTGGGTTTGCCTGTGGGGTAGGCTGTACAAAAATCTGGCACTTCAGAGGCTGGAAGCGCAGCAAAGTAGCATTGGCTACTGGATAATAAAAGGGGCAACTTTAAGGTAAATGAAGATTTACTATTGATTGGGTGGCTCTCGAGAATGCTATTTCTCTACCTAATGCATGTGGGGTTGAATAGACGATGGGTGGATGGGTACCACAAACCACCATGTTGCATGTATGCCTACGTAGCAAACCTGCACGTTCTGCACATGTATCCCAGAACTGAAAGTAAAATAAACAGTTTTTTAAAAGCGTATTTCTAAATATGGTAAAAATGCTGCCAATGCATTTGTCTGATGGACTATTCTAATATGTTAAGGTAAGATTAAAATGAAGAGTAAAATTGAATAGCATGTCACAATGCTTCACAGTTCAATAAAAATGGTTCCTTTATATAATTTCTTTTTAGAAGATCAGGACTGACTTTTTCTCTTCAGCCCAAAGAATTCATAATTCTGCCTTCTAGCTCCCTTTTGAGGAAAGAGGCAAGAAAAGGATGAGGGCAGAAGGAACGCCGCATGGGAGGAGGAGTTGAACGGAACCCTTGTGCCAGCTTGGCCAGCTCATCCATGCCTGCACACCAGGGTTTTGCACTGTGGTGGGACACACTGAAAAAACGACCTTTCCCTAAGGCCAGCGGGTTGGGGAGGGGACTTGTTAGGGTGAAAAGCTCATGCCTTGTTTCTCAGGCAAGACCTGGAAGAAATCAAAGATGCTCTTCATCAACCATTCTATTGAGATGTGTATGTGATCCCAAGAGCATGGGGAGGAGGAGAAAGGGAGGTGTCAGGGAAGGGCTCACGGCCTCTGTGCCCCCACCCTCTGACTGCCCACTCATGCTACATACCCAGTACAGCACGTCCGTCCAGCCCTCCATGGTGATGCACTGGAACACCGTGAGCATGGCGAAGGCAAAGTTGTCAAAGTTGGTGATGCCGTGCTTGGGACCATCCCAGCCGGGCTTGCACACCGTGCCGTTCTGGCACTGCCGCCCATGGCCTGTTTCCAGCGCACAAGGGGAAGGGTCATCTTCTGCTGGAACATCTCAAATGGCCAGAAGAAGACAGGAGACGGGAGCAGCAGCGGGGCAGAGATGTGGGCAGAGAAAAAAGTCAGAGAGAAAAGTGACAGGATGAGGTCGATGGGATGGGCAAAGCAACCATGGCAACAACAGTGCAAGACACGCTTAAATCATGTCCCCTAGATGTGAATCAAGTAACATAAGAAAGTAGGCATTCCGTTTAGGCTGCCGTTAATTTAGAAGGTCAGTCCTTTTCACTTACTGTTGTAAAAGCTGTATTTTAATCTCAGTAACTGATTTCTATTGCCCATTCTGTTGTAACATGTCAGCATCATAATCAAATGGCCAATGAAAAAATAATGATGATGCCACCACTGCAAGTGGAAACTGACCCAGAAAGCGATTAGGAAGTCCATATTTTCTTTTTTTGGTGGTAGAGTTCTACAGACACTTGTGTTGGAATACCAGAATTTAGGGTAAGGACAACACTGATGCAAACACTCCTTCACATAGTTAAGCCAACCGATCCCATCCAATAATGCTTTCTAACTACATGGGCCCATCACGTATTAGAGGATAAAACATTGCCAGGGATGCAAGTCACTTTACAGTGAAGCCTTATATAGGTGAAAGACGGAAAACGGATTCTGACTGCTACGGAGAGGGATCGCCTGCAGCCGTTTTCATTGCAGCCTGCGAGTACACACTACTGACTGTATTTCATGCATGTCATGTGGGACTTGGCAGCTCTGCCCTTTGCTCTGCAGCATGAATACCTTTCAGAAGAGAAGAATCATTTTCTGACCTCTAATCAAGACAGAGCGGCAGTGAGTAACAGGGAGCATGCTTCCTCTGTACGGACGCGGCTTGGTCAGGAAATAGCAGAATACAGTGTCTGTGGCTAAAGGCAGCCGTTGGACTAATGCCACGTGCGGGAAATAGCTCCCAGCAAATTAATGAATGAAGATGTGACTGATATTTTGAGTGTGGAGATTGCTGGTAAATTTAAACAAGACCTGACTGATCTAAGAATTTCGATTACGGGAAAACACTGAGAAAGTCTTGGTGCTGGCTATGGAAGGTAATGGTGTGGAATTCACAAAAGTTCGTGAAATCAAGGACATTGTCCTGTCCTTAGACAAAGTAATGACAATAACAGACAGAAGAGATCCCAGTTCCAACAAATAAACGATTGCCTATAACAATGAAAATACGCTTCGAGAGAGAGAGAGAGAGAGAGAGAGAGAGAGAATTTGCTTATAGTTCTTCATTTAGAGACAACAGATCACCCAGGATTGTTTTCTGGTTTCATGTATCAAAACAATCATAAGTGTGATTACTTTGCCTACATTAGGCTCCGCATTGAAGATGACTGGCCGGTGGGCTGATTCTCAGTTGGTGGCTTTAAATTTGAAACTGTTCACTCCCAAGAGGAAGACCAGACGAGAAATATTAATCCTTAAGTAAGAGATAATTCTTAGGAGAATATAGTCTACTTGAAAACATATGCCCGATTGTGTCTTCCCAGCAGCAGTGGCAGCTCCTCTTCCTTCTCCTCCTCCTCCTCTTCATTGTCATCAGCACCTGCGTGGTCATCTTTGTGGCCTCCTCCTCCTCCTTGTTCTCTGCCAATTTCATTTCCTCCTCCTGCTCATTTTCCTCCTTCTCCTTCTCTTCCTCCTCCTTCTTCTCCTCTCCTCTCTTTCTCTCCCACTGACCCCATCAGCTTTATTGACTTACAAGTTACATGCCTCAGAATTTATCAGTGTAAATGTACAGCTTAATTATTTTTAGTAAATTTTTACATAGTCATGCAGCCATAACCACAATCCATTTTAAAGCACGGCCATTACTCCCCGAAACCCCCCTCGCTGGTTTGCAGTCAATCCTTGCTCCCATCCCCAGTCCCTGGCAACCTGATCTGCTTTCTGCCTCCATTGCTTTGCCTCCTCTAGAAATTTCATATAAATGGAATCACACACTATGAGGCTTTTTATGTCCATCTTCTTTCACTTAGCATAATGTTTTGAGCTTCATCCGTGCTGTTGCATATATCAGTAGGCTCTGTTCCTCTTTATTGCTGAGCAGTGTATTTCATTGTATGTTTATCCGTTCACCAGCTGATGGACGTCTGGATTGTGTCCAGGTTTGGGCTATTATGAATAATGCTGCTTCCTGGCTTATTCTTGGGCCAGTGCTTAAAGTCGTGTGTGAGTCCTGTGTTTGTTGATCAAGGTGCAAAGGTCTGCACTGCTGGTCCCTGAACTGTTAGAGAGACAGTATCCACACCATTTCCTTATTTCAGGGTCTAGCTCCCAGGAGGGCTCCATTAACGCAGCTGAAATAAGCAGTCCTCTGACTACAACTTTTTATGACTTTTTAAAATGTGAAATCTTTAGAGATTTGGATGTGACGCTACAAAAAAGAGGGAGACTAAAATGTAAACCCTAAGCCTAAATAATACATGAAAAAGTGGATAATGAGCACCTAAAAATTTGAGAGTTGAGAGACCGGAAAACCAAGAGCCAAGTAGATCATTAATTCTGTTGGGTTCTCACCCATTCTAGTCATAGCTTTCTAGAGAGACATGTTCAGTCGCTGTGATAAAAGTGCTGGAATGATAGGAGAGACGGGACAAAGAGAGACGGTGAAAAAGTGAAGGGGAAGCTCTTGCATCTTTTTCTCATGTTTTGCTTTTTCGCAGAATAAAGATGCAGTTTATCTTTACATGGGGACCGCTCACCCGACAGCATTCCCTGCACTCTCAATGCCCGAGACGTCACAAAGAGGGCAAAGGAGAAGGCTGCCAAAGGGAGTTCTGAGTGTGCTCGAGGAAGGAAAACGTCTCTGGGGATTTTACGAATATCTGTGAGAAAGAAAATGGCATCCAGGGTAAGTGGTCTCACTGATAAGAGAGAAAGGGATGAGATTCAGAAACATTATCTAAAGGCTCTAGTGCCATTTCGCTATTTAAAATCTGATTTGAACAATAATGAAAAAGATTTGAGAACAATTAAGAAGCAGTGACGATCTGGTAAAAATAGGTATCTATAAAAAGCACTAAAGCGAACACGTGAAAAAATGTGAACACACACAAATCAGCAGGTCCTAGCAACACACACTCTAGGGTGAGGAGAAATTTGCTTAAAACATAAAAATGTGTTGGTTTTCTTTTGCAGAGTCATGAAGTCCTGGGGAGGAAAGTGGGAACATGAGGTGGGAGAAGGAAACAAAGCAATGCAAGTTCTGTATTTTAAGACGGACATGAAGAGAGGTAGAGTCAGTCTGGAAAGTCCAAATTAAGTTTTCGGTAAAATAATGGAGGTGAAGATTAGGAGAGATTTTAGAAACGCAGTTAATACCAACAAAAACACGAAATCCTGGGAGAGCTCCAGTTAGTGATTCCAAGGAGAAATCACTAAAGACAGAAATCAATTACTTTTTTAAAACTCAACTTTAAGGAGTGAATAGAATGAAGATGATTTCACTTCTAGGTTTTAGCCAACCAATTCTGTGCCAGTCTCAGGGGTAATTACTGTGCTTGGGAAGCTATTCAGAGTGACCTGGCTCAGCACACCATCAAACAGATGGGACAACCAGAAACAAAAGGTATCGGCATATGGTGATGTGTCTGTTGAGGAGCTGAGAAGGCGCCGTGCAGATGTCCCCGGGATTAGGGAAACGCTGCGTCTTCTGAGACCATCTTCACCAGGGGCTGTTGCCTGGAAGGGCAGTCTAGAGGCAGAATATGGTTCACCTGAACAATTCCGTAACTTTCTTTGTGGATTTTGTTGGAAACATGGATCAAAATCCAATGTATTTTGAAATCTAGAGATATATAAAATTCACAGTCTGTGAAATAATATTGGAGTATAAAATAATTTGATGTAAATCTCATCAAAAATTACAACGAGGGCTCACAAAGCACTTTTGTGTAATCTAAACTTGCAGAAAATAGGGTAATTCAACCCAAAGTCTGAAATTAAGAAAAAAAAAAAAAAGAAAGAAAAAATTTAAACCACCCATTCCAAAGTTTATATAAAACTCTCCAAAACACTTAGGGGTTGCTTTCAAAGCCTGCAAGTATTTGGTCTTCTCCACGGCTGCACAGATATGTCTGGGTTCTTGCACATTTTCCCTCCTTGTCTGCACTGCCGACTATGTGGGTGGACAAGGGCTTGATGGCAGCAGCATCATGTTGTGCTAAGAGTGAGAGAGTGGGTCCTGGCTTGTGATCAGACGGCAGGTTTGGGAACGAAGGGACAGCAAGCTCTTGATTGCAGAGTATTTGAGAGGACAGGCTTCTGCAGCTGTGTCCTGGGCCCCTCTTCCCAGCAGGGACTCTGGTTCAGGTGAATGAGGAAGGCCACCTTCTCATGGAGCCTGGTAGGGCCCTTCTCCCTGGAGCACTTCTGTTGTTGTCCTGGCCCCCTTGGCTCATGGCCATTTCCGTGATGGGAGCCTACTTCTCTTCTGAACTTGCAGGCACAGATAAACCCATCACATCAACCGTCTGATGAGTCTCTTGGTAGGAGGCAACCTCTCAGGCACTTTTCCTGGTCCTGTTTACTATCAAGGATGGACAATGTGATCCTAAATTGGTCATTCCAATTGGGGAGGCCAAGTCTTATCTTTGTCCTAAGAGAAGAGGAGTCCATGACAGGTTCAGTACTTGGGGGTGACCTCTTCACTGGGCCCTGGGGCTCTGACCTTGAGGACGGCTCCCTCCCTGTGCCATGCTTTCTTTGTCTGCCATGCCCACCATTTTCTGACTCTCCAGGGTCACTGAGGCCTGGTAACAAAGCCCTGGACTTCCAACCAGAATTCAGGGCCACTTATTCCCACAGGCCCTTGCAAGAGCCCACCACCGGCAGAAAACACACTTGGGCTGCTTTCTCGTTAGGATGATGGAAACCGCCTGCAGTGTTGGAGCCCCTCTCCTTAGCTCTGTGGTGCACAGACATCTGATTGCACAGCAGGGCCGCCATCTTCGGCTCGACGGCTGAATTCTACCACTTCACTCTCCCCCATTTTGCTGGTGACGGCCTCACCATCATCACTGCCGAACTGACGGGGAATCTTCGAGACTCCACATATCTATGACTTCCTGAGGAGTTCGGGTCAAATGGTCATTGATAATTTCAACACAACTGCATCAACTTTAGACATACCACAGTCAGTTCTTAAGGAGTCTTAAAACGAGCTCTCACAGGGCCACACAAGTCAATAAATTTATTGGTCCTGAGCTAGCTACAAATCAACCTGAATAAAAGGAAGGATTTTAATTAAAGGGGAAAATATTATTCATCTATGGTTTGGCATTTCTTTAAGCAAGGCTGAAAATCTCAGAATTTTAGCTACAGGCAAGATCTCCTTTTTCCAATTTAACAAGGATTCTATTTTTGAAAACAGGATAGTTTATTTTATATGATTATGACCCAAGTAATTTGGAAATTCTCTCTAGAGTGAAAAAACAGTCTCCTGTTAAACAGACTTCTATCCAAAAAGTGAAAACATTGGTGTGACTCTGTGTCTATAGGAGTATACGTTCTGCGTGTGTGGTTTTTTGTTTTGTTTTTAGCACGGCGGCTATGTGGAAATAAACTAGAAACCCCCTCAAATATGCAGTTAATCCATCCAGTCATACTAGATTATACATAGAAAGTATTCTATTTTGATTTCTCTACGAATTTCACCCCCTGTTGTTTGGAAGCTATCCCTCCTCACCCCAGCGAAGCGAGAGGTCCCATTTAACTGAATGCTGGGACTGAGTGGGAATGAGGGGTAGTGTTGATGGAGAAAATTAGGTATCCTTCACTGTTCCTGGCAGATGATGCTCCCCTTTCTCCACCAAGATGCCAAAAACTAAGATGATGGTTCTTGCTGTGTGGAAAAAAATCACATACATTTAACACGGCTAGCCCCTTTGGGGCGGGGGATATTTTTTCAACAAGTTCTTTGTGTTAAGCTGCTTTATCTGTCTGTTTAAAAGCCTTGTCAATTTCTGTTTAAATGTTTCTTTAAAAGGCCAAGCTGCGATGTTAGTAGCTGTAGCAGCAGCTTGCAGCATATCCTGCAAGCCAAAACTCCAGTGCCACGCAGGGAAGTGCCTAATGAACCAGCACTGCTGTTAAATATATTGATTTATGGAAGGAACGTGAAGCGAGAAGGCTCAAAAAGGAAGGGACTGGGAGTCATGGGGTAGAACTAAGCCTTCTCCTTGAAGGGAGGAAGTTTGGCTGCTGGCAAGGGGGTGATTCCCACCTGTCTTCCTCCCTCACCTGGAATAGGGGCTCAGGGGCATCTGCCTGTGAATGGAGAAGCAGAAACAATAATTACAGAGGATCTGGAATCAGCACCATGAAGGTAGAAAGATCTTAGAGTGGTGCTGGGAGAGCCTATTGCTCAAGGCTGAGCGGCCCCCCTGAAAGGGCACCCGACGGCCAGCCACACTGAAACGTGGAAGGAGCAGAGACTGACGTTCCCAGGTCAGCTCTGATTCTTAAAACACTCGGGGTTGGCTTGAAAAGTGGCAGATTGACGAAAGATAGGATCTAAGTTATTCAAATATTTCTCAAATTGTGTAGCTTATTGAAAAGTGCTGAATGAAGTTTGCGTTAGGCCGGTTTAACAGATTAAAACAAAAATTGGAACCGAGAAAAAAAGGATATGGGTCTCTCTGCCTCTCACTTAAACATGCCCAGTGGGCGTCTGAGTGAACGGGACCTTCCCCGGGCTCTGCTGGTCATGCTGGTGTAGCCAGCAGCGGGAAAGGAAAGGTGCCGGGAGTGACAGAGGGCATGGCCTTGGGAGCACGGCTGCCTGCCCCTCTTACCTGCTATGCCCTCCTGGTTGTAGCAGGTCTTGTGCATCTTCCCCATGAAGAGCTCCAGGCCGATGATGGCGTAGATGATGATGACAAACAGCACGAGCAGGGCGATGTGCAGCAGGGGGACCATGGCCTTGATGATGGAATTCAGGACCACCTGGAGACCTGCGGGGACAGAGTCACTCACTGAACCAAGCGTCACCGCGGGTACCGTGCTGACGCCATCTCATGCCGTCTTCCGGTAACTCTGCAAGGAAGGAACTGCCAGCCCTGGTGTTCAGATGAGAAGACTGAGGCTCAGAGCCACACACCAAGGATTGATGGTGCAGGGGTCTAAATCCAGGTTGGCCTCACTCCAAATCTGTCTTGGAGACTCATCCAAAGCAAAGGACTGGCAGCTGCTGTACTTCTGAGGGGAAGAACATGTTGTTTCCATCCATAACTATCAGATTGTGTAATACCCCATCTTACAGGCAACTGAGCGCCTTTTCCTCCTAGAGCAGCGTCTCAGGACAGTGAGAGCTCATGTGGACTCAAGATGGCCCTGCAGGGACTCACTTGTCCTCTAGGTTTTCCCCACGGTGGGACTGGGAAAAGTTCCAGAGCTGGGTGGTGCTGATGGTTGTACAACAGTGTGAAGATACTTAACTGCCACTGAGCTGGACACTTGAAAATCGTTAAAATGATCAACTTTGTTATGTTCTTATTACCACAAGAAAAGAAACTGTAGAAAGCACCCAGATCCTTCTGGTAAAAAGAGTCAAGGAAAAGCCCGCCTGGGGACGTGGGTGTTGTCGGTGAGGTCTGGGGCTTGCACCGTGGTCTGTGGGGAGAAGGCCCCCCTTACTAAGCTCGGCTACATCAGAGATAACACACTGGGGATGCCACTTACTTAAAGCGACACTGCAAATCATTCGCAAATGGCAGGAAGGTGGTTACCAGCAAGTCACCCCCAGATGACACCCAGCCCCGAGAAAGTCACGTGTGAGATTCCTGCCCAGGCGAGTGCAGTGAGTCTTCACCTTCCAGGTGAGAATGTGGAGGCAGCTCCTGCTTCCCTCCAGCAGAGCCAGTGGTGCAGAAAGTCACCCTGAGTGCCACCTCTGATACACACAGGACAGGACACCCCGTCCAGGTCACACTACACAGGTCACTTTTTGTGTCTTTACCTTCTGTGTGTGGGGCATTTCACCCTCACGTTTATCCACCGTGCTTGCCCCTGGGTAAACTAAGGCCGGTCACCCCCTTCCCAAACCCTGAGGCTGTTGGTGCTTTTCATTCCGGTGGTGTGATTCTCACAAGGCTGATTAGAACGATTCTTCCCAGCTATTAAGCCAAGCTGGGAAGATTTAAAAAGAAAAAAAAAAAAAAAAGAAAGAAAAGAAAAGCTGGAATGATTTTACCTGCGAATTAATGAGAGTGCTTGCAGCCTCCCATTAGAACAAGATGCTTTCAGATTGAAATGATTCCATTAATTAGCAAGTTGTACACACATTAGTGTTAGAGTATGCAGAGCCGCAAAGAAAGTTGAAAATTGAACCGCAAAGCAGCTTTCAGGGCATCTGCTGGGGGTGGGGGTGGGGGACGTGTACCAAGTGCTACTCGAGGTGGGGGGAACCCCAAATCTGGGCTACCCAGGCATAAGGGGGTATCTCGGTGGGCCTCAGTGCCACAGCCTCCAACGGCAAGAGAGTGGTGGGTGTGGGACATAAAGGGACACCCACTGGGAAGCTCCCCTCCAGGCCGCAGCTAGAGGGCTGCTCAGCAGGCTGCCTCAGGCCTGCTGGAACTTTGAATGCCTTCCTCTGTTCTTAGGATGAAGACAAGATCCTTCCTGGGCCCCTCCAGGACCCTGTCGGGTCTCCTCCACCCACCTCTCCACTGACTGCCTCTCCCCAACCCACTCCAGTAAAACAGCTCTTCTTTCAGAAAGTGGAATATGCTACTGTTCCTCCCACCACAGGGCCACCACACATGCTGTTCCCTCAACCTGGAATGCTTTTCCCCACTTCCCTCCTACTTATCCTTCACTCTCAGCCCAAGCATCTGTTTCTCCAGGGTCCAGCATTTCCCCAGGGATCATCACCCAACTCCCAGACCAGAGACGTGTCCTTTAAGTCTTCTTGGAACGATTTCCTTTCCTCTGGAGAGTGCACCTCAGTTTGAAATGTTATGTTCCTTCACGGGATTTTAAAACATTTATATCTGTCTCTCACACTAGGCTGAGTTTTGTGAGGAGGGACTGTGCCTGCTCGTCTCCCTGTTTTGTCACTAAGGCCTGGCTTGGTGCTGAGCATATGTGGGAACTCAGTAAATATTTACTAAAGGACTGACAAAACTTATCATCTAAATAAATGCTATTGCTGTCCTGCAGCGCTGCTGAGGATTGCTGCACAGACATCTGCTTTCCAGATAAGGTGTCTAAGGGACAGGTGAGTGTCAGGGCCTGCAGGGGACATAGGCCACTGAACAGGCTGGAGAGAGGCCAAGCGGAGTGAAAGCAGCTTGTGGGCATCGTTTCAGCTGTCAGCGATGCCATAAGAATTCCTGCCAAATGCCCTGTTCCTCACACCCCCATCCAGGCTGGGGGTGCCACACACCTGAGCACCCCGGCCAGAAAACTGATCTCCTAGGCTCCTCCTTCCACCCAGTAACCAAGTCCTGCCGGGTTGGTTTCAAAGTATCTTTAGACATGAATACATTTTTCTTACTGTATAAATCATATATGCTAATTATAGAGAAAACAGAAAATACTTGTTATAGAGAAATTACAGAACACCGGGAAGCAAGAAGAAAAAAGCAATCACTCATTGTCCTGGCCTCAGGAGAAGAGCCACTGTCAGCCCTTCCCGCCCACGACTCGTTTTCCTCCTCTGTCCCCTTTGTGCTCGTCATTTGGTCAACTGGTCTCCCGGCTTTCAGTGTTGCCCAGTCCACCAGTGACACTTAAAATGCTCTTCCTAAAGTACACACTGGAACATGTCCCTTTGTAGCTGAAAGTCACCCAGTGACTCCCTGTCACCTGCAGGTAAACTCACCTGCCTTCTTCCCCAGTTTGATCTCAAATGACTCCCGGTTTATACGTCAGGCTTGAGCAATACACCCTGCAGTTCTCAGGCTTCGTGCCTCCAATCCCAGCGCATGTGGTTCCCCCTGCCTGGAATGCCATTCCCTGCCTCGCCGAGAGCTGCTTGAGTCTCAGCATGTCTTCTCATCTTTGTGTCTCGGGCACGTGGGAGGGACTCCGTGCACATGGAGCCAAGTCACATTCGTAAGCACAGGGTGCCTTCAGAAGGCAGAAACCATAAGAATGAAGGAATTGGAAACAATATCATTCAATAATCATTAGAAGAAATTGAAGGTGTTTTGTCAGGAACGGTGAAAAGGCACAGGCAGGAGGGTAGCGTCAGTGATTTTCAGAAGATCTCAACTGCTATTTGAGGAAGAGGGGTTAGATGAGTTCCGTCTGACCACAGAGATGGAACTGCGACCAGCTGGGAAGTGTCCGGGAAAGACTTAGGTTCAACACAGATAAACACTTATCTGTCCAAGAAACAGGCTGATCTGAAGGTGGAGTAGGGCGCTCTAAGAGATAGTGGATTCCCCATCGACAGAGGTATCCAAGCAGTGACTTGAGGAAGTGCCTGGCTGGGGATTCTGCCAGTGAAGGACTGCCCTGGAACACCAAAGGCCCTCCAACTTGATGAGCGTGTCCTGAAGACTTGCCATGGGCAAGAGCAGCCCTCAGCACTCTACTGGATCACTCCAGCTCCTCCTGGCAACAGCCCTAGGAAGTAGGCACTGTTCGTAACCTATGTTTCAGATGAGAAGAGTGGGTCCAGAGCAGTGGAGTGATCTGCCCAGGGTCACACAGCTGGGAAGTGGTGGCACAGGGCTCAGTGCCAGGTGGTCTGGCTCCTAGCGTGTGGCTTCACTACTGTGCACATGCCCCCCACACACTTAAACAGTGGCTCTCAGCCTCCACGACCTGAGTCTATAAAGCAGTGACACGTGCTTGCAACATCTGCTGGGAAGGCAGGAGAGTCTAGTGGAGTCCCTGCTTCCAGGAGAGCCCAGATGTTTCCAAGGCTGGTCCAGGAAAGGCTCTCGCTTCCATCTGCTTTCCTCGCGGCCCGCCTGGGGTGGCAGAGCCAGGCTGGCTTGTGAAGGCGTGCAGCCAGACTTCCTCCTCTCCACCCTGCTGTGTAGAGTTTGGCTCTCGGGGCCTGGATGTTTAACAGCTTCTTGGGATTGGCTCACAGCTGCCCCAGAAACAGCTCCTCCAACTCAAGTTCTAATTTGGAAAACACACGACATTTCTCCACCCAAGTGTTCTCAGATAGGCCATGCTCACAGCTGATAAGCGAGTGTCGGGCCTTCTTCAGGGCTGGCTGCTCATGTTGGTGAAAGAAAACGGGCCCTAGATAAGCCTGGTGAAGCAACTGCTGTCAAATGTTCTGTGAACACAAGATCACTATTGGCCCACGCATGTGATGAGCCTGTTTTTCTAGCCCTAAATCAGGGTAAGATCTGACAAACACATGTGTACTTAAGGGACCAACAGGACTGAATATGTGACAGGAGAGTTCTACTGGAAAATTTGGAACATACGATTCCACGCAAAGATCAAACAGCACGTAACCTAGAAATTCAGTCTCGCTAGTTTGCAGCTCATGTCAAGTGACTGCCTCTTGGTGGGTGGGAAGACTCTTGAGGTACCAGGAAGACCTTCCAGGGAGACGGGGCCTTGGGCAGTGGCATCATTCAGTGCTGTGCTTGGGAAAAGGGGAGGACGGAGTTCAGCCAGCAGACATGGCTTTTCCTTTCTTCCTCTTACAGTGCTGCCTGCATTCCCTCTGGGGTGCAACTTGACAATTCCAGTTAGGAAAGGCTTAGAGAACCTGCATATATAAATCATCCTGTTTTTCCTTAAAAGGTCAAGAGAAGTCATCTATCGCAGAAAGCAGTATCTGGCGCTTTTCTCGATGGTGGTTTTGAGGTTAGTCTGGAGATGCCCAGATTGGTCAAAGTTGGTGCTTCCGTTACCTGGTCCAGACTGTCCACCATGACTGACGAGGGCTGACAACAAATCCCACCCTCTTTTGCTTTATAAAACAGCATCTCACCAAGCCCTACTTTTGGGATGAATTGCTCTGCTCAGAGAC